CTAGTAGTAACAAGGTTCGCTACTAGGGGCTCCTGGCATCGCTACTATGATAACTTTCCCCACTTCTGGAGACTAGGATCGAACCGTTCCCTGCTCGGTTGGCCTCCAACCTAGTAGCTTCTTGTTCCTAGCAGTAAGGCCAGGAGCCCCTAGTAGCGAACCTTGTTACTAATAGTAAGGCACTTGTTACTAATAGCTTCTTGTTTGTTTTACTTTACTTACTTTACTGCCCGTCACGCTGTTCCTAGTGAGCAGGATCGAAAGGACAAATCTTTGGGGATGATCATGGGATCACAGGAAACCTCTCAACAGTAACAAGTGCATCGCTACTAGTAACAAGTGCCTTACTACTAGGAACAAGAAGCTATTAGAAACAATTTGATTCTAATTAAATTAATAGTAAGGCACTTGGTACTAGAAGCGATGCACCTGTTACTAGTAGCTTCATGGGATCACATGGGATCACAGGAAACCTCTCATCCCGTCTTTCGTTTTCTCTCACTGAAAAATCTTTCCTCTTACTCCAATGCCTGATGGCCTGATTGGCTCAAAATGTCAAAAAGAAACATCGCGTATCACTGCTATCAAATAGCTGGGGCCCGGTTTGACCAAACAGCTGCGAACTTCTTGCTCAGTTCCTTCCTTTCCACCCAGCGATGGCCTCCAACCTACTAGCTTCGTGCTACTAGTAGCAATGGCCTCCAACTTACTAGCTTCCTTTCCACCCTTTACCTATTCATTTCCTGTTTTGTTTGCTTTCCTCCAGCAATCATTGTTTCGGTTGACCCCAAGAAGTCGAGTCACATGTCATTTTTCCTCCTGGCCTTACACCTGAGATCTCCTGATAATTTTGCGTAGTTTGTCGCTCATGGCAAGGGAGGGGAAACGGAACTATGAGGCATCGTGAGGCGCCTGCTCTGTGTGTGTCCGGGTGATGTGATTATACTTATACAAGGCCACTGGCTTCTGGGCACAGTCACCATGTTCTTTACTGTTGTTCTGTTTCACGCCCTCCCAAACCCTCCCCATGTCCAATTTGATGCAGGATGCCTGTACTGTCCGCAGGGGTCAACGTCCACCAAGCTGATGGTGGCCGTTAGAAGTTGCCGACGGGCGACACAAACACTCACTAACCCCTTAGAGCACGCCAAAATGCTGCTGCAGGTGCACACGTGTGGAGACCTAACTCATCAGTGAGACATGGGCGATGAGCATGTGGGATGCTTTGGTGTTACTACTAGTAAGGCACTTGTTACTAGAAGCGATGCACTTGTTACTAATAGCTTCTTGTTACTACTAGTAAGGCACCTGTTACTACTAGCGTGGCACTTGTTACTAGAAGATTCAGTTCCTTGCCGGATGATGTTGTGCATGCCGAGAAAGCCAGAGAAACACGGCAAATACTTGGAGCTGAGGTCACCAACGCGTCATTCAAAACGTTCGCCAGCTACCTCAAACTATCCGGGCAAGAGACCGACCTACTAGCGATGGCCTCCAAAACAGGAAAGTGTGAAGTAGAAGGAAAAAGTGAGGACATCGCCTCTACGTAGTAACAAGTGCCACGCTAGTAGTAACAAGTGCCTTACTAGTAGTAACAAGGACGCTAGTAGAAACAATAAGCTAATAGCTTCTTCTTACTAGTAGTAACAAGTGCCATTGTCTACAGCAAAACTCCGCACCATAGAGCACAAACACGTGAGCAAAAGTGAGACATCAAACGCATGTAAACACAATTGTGAAAAATGAGAGCACACATATGCAAGCATACGTACAAGCAAACACATATTATAAGAGCACCTGGGAATATCTTTGATGGCATGGCCGTTCTCAAAGAAGATTGGCAACTTGCACGTGGAATGCGTGTTGTTATTAACTCTTCACTTCAAAGCTGAAGGTAGTGCTGTCCCTGCCCGGAGAAATCTTCACATCGAAGTAGAATGGCTCTTTTCTCCTGCACCTGCCACAACGGTGGACACACACACACTTACACTTACACGCGCGTGCGCACGCGCGACCCCAGTCTCCTGAGAGAACATACCAGCAGGGCAAGCGGCGCAAGCGACAGCAAGATCACGGTGAGTGACGTAATTTCGCTGCGAGTCCACCAAACCCCTGCCCAGTGGACATGCAGTGTCACTTGGTATCCATGCTTGCCATGTGGATGCTGTTGATGCTTGCTTCAGCCAGGTGCAGGCAGTATCCCAATGCGTGGTGTCTCCAGATAGCTCCTTCAGCTCTATGTGCTTCAGGAGCACACTTGCGATTTCTTGTTTCGACAAAGCAATGGCACCTGCCAATGAAAAAGCTCGATGAGCTACAACGTCCATATCTGCAGCTGCCCACTTGGTCAAAGTCAATTCCTCTCTGCCTGTTCGGTAGATCTTGCGTGCGTGTTCTGCCGGGTTGAAAGGAGGCAGAACGATCGGAGACGCATTCTCTCGTAGAAAGGACACATCCGGAGTCCACCAATAGACCAAGCTGGCCAATTCCCGGCCGAGTTGCACGTAGGCCTGTGCTGCATCATCACCAGGAGCTGCAGTTCCGATAGCAACTGGCATATTGTGAAATGCAACCCATTGCGTCATCAAACCAAAGCCCCAACCTGGAAAGCTAGTAATGAGAGTGGAACAATTCTGAGGCATGCTACGGCAAGCGGGGCTAATCCACCACTTATCCTCCCAGCACTTGTACTTCACTCGGCCGCCTCCGAGGTACACAGCATCTGAGTCTCCAGTTGCTTCCAAGTACTCAGGTGCAAAAAAGATGTACCGGTTGTTCACTCCTTCATCACACGTGGCAAGCCTAGAGAGGTTCACATCAGAAACAATGGCAGTGTACTTACTTGGTTGGAACCAATCCGCATTGTAGTTGCTGTAGTATTCCAACGACAGACCACTATCGAGCAACCCGGCGTTGACTGCGGCACCAAGCACATACATTCCCGATGAACCTTTGTACTGCAAGCTGCCCAGATTGATGGGTGCTCGATCACCAAACGCCTGAAGAAGGGAGGGGACATATGTTGAGGCACCCTGCCAGCTCTCAAAAGAGAAGTGGAAACGCCTAGGTTTTGTAAGACAATCCTGTTCGAAGGATTTGCCATTGTTTGGAGGGTTGGAAGTAGCTTCCTCACAGCCCCCAAGGCGGTAAAGCACTGGAGTGCTGCTGCCGGTCCCACCCAAGTTGACCACTTTGTAGCCCAACTTTTCGGAAACCAAGATTTCGAAGATACGGGTCATGATCGAAGCTGAATCCCACTTGAGTTCCCAAAGCCCAATGGGCATGCTTTCGCCATCCAGCGTGATATTGCCACGACTCTCCTCTGGGATGGCATCATCAAAACAAACTCTGGCGGCCAAGGGAATGCTTCTGGTCAAGAGACTGATGAGAAGGAGCGGGGCAAAGGCAGCCATCTTGCAACTATGCACGAATTATGCACATGGGAAAGTTGAGCCACAATGACAGCGCATGCTCAGCCACAAGACCCAACCAAGGTGATGCATACAAACCAAAACCAGAAACAACATCCGGCAAAATCTGGTGACATGCTTTGTCGACTCCGAGCACTAGATGCCAAGTGTTGATAAGTGTTGCACATGCAGGGTCGCTTTAAGCGAGCCTTAATTAATTGAAAATGCAAAACTGTTTGGGAAATTAACCAATGTCAAGCCCTCAGGCACTGCTGGTAAGCTCCCGCTCACGATCAAGAGATGCTGCACAAGCTGTCGCTAGAACGCTGACGCGGTCATTTCACAATTCAATGCAGCTTCGTAGTCATCATCATCATCGTCATCATCATCATCATCTGTCTGTGCTTCCATATGGGCCTTCCATACAGGCTGTCTTGCACTTGGGACTTTCAACAACTCGCTGCGCGCCCTTTGCTACATGAAGGCTGAGAACCATTCTTGATGGGGCAAAGTCCAGATGGGTTCACGAAAAGGGAGCAAACACAAACAAGGTCTAAAGAGGAGAAAAGAAAAATCATAAACTAATTAAAGGTCAAAAGAAGCTAAATAGGCAAAAAGAACAGAAGGACAAGAATGGACCAAATCCTCAGCTGCCCAGGGAATAGAGTCCGTCCAGCCTGAGGGGTGGCAGGCTGATAGACCATAGATCGATTGCTGCCCAGTTTTTCACTCAGCGGTAATGCTGGTGTCCACGTCAAACGGGCAACAACCTGTCGTGCTCGTAATTCCAAGTCGTCTTGAGATGCCATTTGGGCCCTGAGCAGGACAACTAGTGGCGAACCTTCCTAGTAGCAATGCCAGGAGCCCCTAGTAGCTTCTTGTTCCTACTAAAGTCCAGAACGATATCAAACCACAAGGCAAAACCACCTGCAAACGAACAACTTGGGCCGTGGCGGGCACATGATCCCAAT